TCCTATTTTGACCTTATTAAGGTTTACTCGTGGTATGCTGCAATGTTTAAAGCTGTACATAGAATTAACATAACTCCTTCGGTAGCAGAAGGTGTTGCTGACAGGTGAAACTGAGTTGTGTATTTTTTTGCTGTCCTTTAAATTTTCAGCTATTCACCTGTTTTTAATAGTAGTCCTATGTAAAATATATTTGGTTTTTAAGGGTTGTGTTGCTTTGCAAACAAAAAAGCTTCATTTTATTCCTTTTTTAATTTATGATTGTTTTCTAACATTATGCAGAAATTTGTAAAAAGTAAAATTCTGCACATTTTTAATATTGTCTGTCTTTGGTGTTGTAATGATTGAATTTTTTTTAATGCTTTACTTAACACTTTGAATACTTGTTTTAAGAACTGAAAGAAGCTGTCTTGTCACCATACATCTCTGTTAAAAGAGAGTCATGTTCAATCTGTTTGTACTGGTTCCCTATTTGATAGGTTGCTTGTATATCCCAATAAAACATTGCTTATGTTTGGATTCAGTTTACTTTACAGATCTTTTACTTTGTTGTGGTATACTGGAGCTCCTTTCCTCCCTTTTCCTATTAAAAAGGTACTAGAATCTATTTAATATTCTATGTACTTGTGATTACTTTTAACATCACCTACCATGATATCTAAAGATTTAATTATTTTTGCTCTTTCTTCTCTGGTGTTACATACTGCTGAAGGAGAAGCCCTGGCCACAGGTCACCAGTAAGATCCGCGTTTCCCTTAGCCCTGTGCGGAGCTGTCAGCGGTGCGGAGCTGCTGCGCTGGCCCTGGTACACGGGGTGGGTCCCTGTACCCCAGAACGTCTGGGACACAGCCCACGGATGGTGCTGAACCCTGGCTGGGCCCACCATCATCTCTGGTCCAGACAGCTGTGTCATGACCCCTGAAATGGGGAAGGAATGTGGGGTTGCATCAGTGATGCTGAGCAGAGGAACAAGGAAGGAGGAAACAAGCAGGAGAATGTGATGAAAGTGGAGATGGTGTGGGAGGAAATGGTGAGGGGGTGTAGCTGGGAAGGGAAAGGGTGCTGCTTTCTGCCAAGTGGGGCCACAATTCAGGGAGAGGAAGGAGAAACTCCTGCAGTCTCCTGCCTGAGTAGTGGCCCTGTCTTCACTTGGACTTGGCCAAGTGTGAGGTGGCTGTTCATGCTTGTGGTCACTGGTGTTAAAGGGAAAAAGGGGAGAGAAGGGACAAAGCCATGCTAATAGCTGTGCCATAGGTGAAGCTCATGGTATGTGCTATATTATATAAATATATACAGCAGCATGTTTTCTTGAATTCTTCCTAACCTTTACATGGTACAATGTATATATTTGGAATTTGGGACAATAGGACAGAGATGTATTCATAATTTCTTTGTCTGGTCCCTTGTACGGAGCTTACTTTAGGTATTGGTCTGTTAGCAGCAGGTTTGTAAATCGTGGTCTGAATTCTGTTTATGATTTTATTTATAGTTTGGTCATGTCCAGAGATACCTGCTGGGAGTAGGGCTCTGCTGGACTGGATTCAAATAGAGATCATCAACCCTGCCTTGGGGAATTTTGAGCTGTCGTCTGTATCTGGCTAATTTTGGACTGCAGTTTAAAAATTATACATTAAACACCTAAATATTTTAATAGAGAATTAGGTATGTTTATGAAAAGGATCATGAAAGGAGTCTGGACATGCTAACCAGCACTGTATGTACATAATGAGAATACATAGTGCTGTGTTACTGAAGGATTAATGGAATATTCTTTTTTTTCTCCATTTCCATGTTTGGTATGGGATTTACATTTTGTGGTCCTATGGGAGGCAAAATTTGAAGTAAAATATACTTATTCCAAGAGGGAGTAAAAATCTCCACTGTGCAGACATGAGAGTTCATTTGATGACTATTGAACAAAGTTCTTTCTTTTAATATGGTTAATGAGCAAATTAATTGCATTCAGAAACATCCCGATTTTATTTCCCCTTTGCTCAGCACCACTGAGTCATACAAGTACAGGCCTAACAGAAATCTCATTGCAAGTGCAAAAGGGAATTTGGAAAATATTGGTCAAAATTGTGACAATTTTTTTACTGTCTCTGATTTTTATTGTAGTTTCCTTCTGTTTTCTGAGCTTTCTAATGCTGCTGTTCTTTTTGTGCAGTTGACTGTTCTGGTTTTGTCTCTTGCATTCTCTTTGCTGTTTCTGGGAGAACAAAAAGTATTTCTAAGAGACTGAAGGGTTTAAAAGAGGAAGTCAAAGCCAGATTATTTTTAGCTACCATTCCTCTTGCAGAAAACACAGCTGCTGTTGAGATGAGGAAGCAACTGATAGGCATTACTGGATACCATGTCAGTACTGCAGCTCTGAGTTGCAGAGCTATGCAGGAATCCAATTTAAATCATGCCCTTATATGTGCCTGCAGCTGGGAGAGTCCCTCTTCCTTAAAAGCCCTGCCTGTGCCCTGGGTGATGGTTAAGCTGCCAGCATCTGACTGCTCAGCTGATCCAGGGGGTGAGCATGATGAAGGTCTTGGCTTTCACACTGAATCACAATTCAGAGAGTGCCCTTCTCCTGGAGACAGCTTTAAGGAATAAAGCAGCACTGAGCTCCCCTGCCCTGCTGTCAGTCAGCACAAGAACAGTCATGCTGCAGCCAAGGTCTTCCCTGTCCTTCCTCTCTCCTAATGTCAGAAGTGCATATCTATCAAAATCTTCCATACACTGTTAAAATTATTTCAGAGCATTACAATATGTCTGTTCAGGTATGATGGGTATCAAATATATAGGAATTGTTCATCAGCTCTGGTCACTCTCCTCTCAAGCTGTGCATGCACAACATGGCATGTTCTCTTTGCATCCAAACAGAGCCAGGTACCACACATAAAGCACATGTAAGGCACCTGTCAGCAAAGTACGGGGTCTGTGGCAGTACCTGTCCACCAGGATCACTTTCTCAACCCAGAAAAAATTGCTCTGACTACTTGCTGCTGTCTCCCATCCCTGCATGTTATTGGTCCAAATTTGTTTTTATGTGCTGCACTTGATCAGGTTGTAGAAGATTCTTTGCCCATATAATTGTAAGACAAGATTCAACTGCTGTAACAAAGGGAGTAGGCCCCCCCCCAGTTAGAAATGGCCCTGGCAAAATGTCTCATTAGGCTGTCAATGTCAGGGATTAAATGCTAAATGAACTCCTCCTTCTTTTCCCTGCTTTTTCCAGCATGTTCAAATTCTACCAAATCCTCTCACTCTTCCTCTTTTAAAAAAATCAGCATTTAATTGATCTTTTGTCTCTGACAATCCTCTTTCCACCGTCACACTTAAGTTACAGTGACAGTTGTTTTAAAATCAGAAGGTCTTATTTTCTATGAGTCTGACAGACACTGCAAATTAATTTCTCATGTTTTTAATGGTAAAATTGTACAACATTTAAAGGCTGAGTCTGAGTAGGACCAGAAAAATATTACCTTACTTTGTCTTCATTCTGTTTCTTTACTTCAAAGTCAAAATAGCAGTTCGTTCTCTTCTAGGAATGCCTTTGGGCCCAAAAGTCATGTGGGAAATGAAATTATTGTAAACGTCCATGTTGGAGGCTGTAACAATCACTGGCTCATAAGCAGCAGGGTGAGTGGAGCATGGCAGAGGAGGGTCTGTGCTACTCTTTCCTTCACCTTGGGCAATTTACACAGGCAATGGATTGGCTTCTTCATCAAACAAGAGGACTTGGAGATTCTTGGATCAATCTCTTGGATTGACATCTTGGAGATGTCATCCAAGAGATCTCACCCATGTGCCATTCCATCACTGTGTTGCTCAGTTTGGTCAGCACTTTCCTCAGGGGGAAAGTCATTAGCCCACTGGCAGGGGCAATCTCCATTGGAAGAATGGGCAGACTAATTTAATAAGTAACTTTCATTCCTATTGGGAAAGTATGCGTTCTTTTTAATAATGTAACAGGGTCATTAAATTACTTTTTGCTTAGCCCCTATAATTAGGGAGTTGATTTAGTGATATTCATTTGGATCTTCAATGTGTGTCCAATTCCCAGAATAACATTGGTCGGTAGTCGCTATAAATTTGGGAAATGCAACCACAGGCACCTGGAGAGCCCAAGGGGAGCACCTTGAAGACTGTAAGTGGTTCTTGGTCTCCATGTGAGAGTGTCATTGCTGCTGAAGGCTGCTGGTGAGTACTGGAGACCGCTGGTGTATTTATATGCTGCACTCGTGAGCATCCTTGCTGAAGGAGCAGTCAGCAGTCACAACTGCTCTGTTATCAGCTGATCTGCTGATAAGGCAGCAGCAAATGTCTTGGCATTGGCAGACTCGCATTCATCTCAGGATGTTCTCTTCCCTTTTTTGGATGATTGCTATAATCCAGCTGCCCCTCTATAGAGTACACACTTTGGTACTTACTATATTGAGGATGCCTCTGATTTTAGCAGCTAAATTTTATCAGAGAAGGGAGAGAAAACTCATCATTTGCACTGATCTTTCAGATTCAAGAATTGCATTGCTTTGTCTTGTCTTAGTGGATGGTGGAAGGAGGAAGGAAGTCAAAGTAAGGAAGTTGTGGCTGAGTTTGTTCACAAGCTGGTGGCCAAACTGTGGGGAGAGAAATGTGGAAATGGGTGTGTGCCTGGGTGTAGCAACCCTGTTTCACAAAAACACTCCTCAAATTCCCTCCTCCCTTCTGCATAAATAACACACGCCAATATGTGTGTCTAGAGGATTTGAAAACATTGCAGGAGTATGAGGTCATTAAAGCTTGAACTCTTGTCTTTTTCAGTCAGATGTAATATAGAAATTCATTCCTAGTGCCACACTTAAGAAGTGGCAGAAGCCCTCCACTATACTCAGGCACTCTGGTGTCTGTTGTATTCCTCTCTGAGTCAAAGGTTTCTTTACCCCTCATTTATCTAATTGTGAGTCCCTCCAGTATTATTTGGGTTGGGGTTTTTTTTGTTTGTTTTAGCAACAACTAACACCAGATCATGTTTTTTTCTGATGTGACTGCCATAGATTAGTCATACATCAGCTGATCTAGTAAGTGTAATTTGTACATGTATTTTGTACACATACATGTGTGTGTGTGCATGCATGCACTCAGGTATTTGTGTGTGTCTTTCTCAGACTGCTGTGAATGGTGAAACTCTCAGAAAACATTTTAAATTATAGCTGACATGTGAGTTGACATTTTGATCCAGTAACTGGAAACATTTCATATGTTCCCTTTCTAGATACAACTGTGTACTTTCCAAGAGGGATATGGTTGGCTGCTGTACATATAAAAATAGTGGAATTCTAAATTCAGAAGAATTTATTTTAAGATTTTTAGCCAGAAAGAGTTTTTTGGTCACTTTAAGTAGCTCAGCTTAACTTAGAGTCAGGATTATGTACTCTTGATAAAAGCAAGGTTAAAATAAGAAAGGAAATAGACAACTTTAAGGAATAAAAATACAATTGCTGTAATAGTTAATATAAACTGGCATGTTTAAATATATATTGGAAAGCGTGTAGCAATATATATCGAATAATACAGTCAGGGAAGACAAATGACTTGTCCTGACCCTGACAGTGACATCTGCTTTTGGTTTTAGATACTGGCTGATGAGTTGAGCTGGTACATTTTATCTGTGTGACATTGGTTGTGCGTGGAGCATGATGAGCAACTGAGGCAGGCTGTGTTGGACTGTCCTGGGCAGTTATCAGAATTGAACAGAAACAGGATGGGAAGGAATCAAAGACTAAAAAGATAATATGTTTGTGCACTTGAAATGCACTGTTTCTTGGTAGGAAATTTCATCCCCTATGAACTACTGGGATGTAGCCCAGGACCAGCAAGATTCATGTTAACAGCAAGAAGTTATATTTTAAACAGCAATTCTACAACCTGCTAGCTGCTGCTCATTTTCATCAAGTGTGATGGTGTCAGCAAAGCATTGCAGCTGCTTCTGAGTAAAACACAGTAAGCAACTTGAATAGCTCCTAAGGACAGGAACTAAAAAAACATTTGTCTCAATGAAATTAATGCAAGTCCATCATGGAGACTGAATCTAATGAAGCCAATGGGAATTTGGTCAGATTTCAGGCCCAAGTGAGTCTGGCTACCTCACATTTTCAAGAATGATTTATGCCACTGTTACCTTAATCTTGTTGCCATATGGGACATTGGGGCTGCTTCTGATTGCCTGAGTGTTTTCTTTAGAAGCAACATGCCCGTGTGAGTGCCTCAGGTTTGCAGTGCTGCATGGAGCTGCACTCAGAAGCTCCAAAGAGAGGGAATGTCTGCCTTCCTGTGGGGCTTTATACAAACCCCACTGAACTAGTGTACGTGTGTGCTTGTTACCACGGGAAAGGCTCAGTAAACAGCTGCTCACTGCTCATTCTGTCCTCTTTCTGCCATGGAGGTTAGTCCACCACTACCTTGCAGGGCCACAAATGAAGCACAGACAGTAATTAAAGAAACCTTGTGCCTAATGCAATAAATTTCTTATAAGGTAGAAAGGAAGTTGGTTGTGCAGACCTGCTTTGTTTCATAAAGAGGTAAATGCTGAAATGTTCAGTAAGATTATTTTTCATCTATTGGTAGTGAAGTGTCATTTGGAAGATTGGTCACTTTTTGAGGTGAAATTGGGTGAATTAAAATAGTTCTTTTATTTACAATGTTCATATTTATATATAAGTAGTAAATAGTCAAAAGCTAGTTTGTTTTTTGATGTTGCTCTTTATTTGCCTTTAAAAGATATATTAATAAATTAAAAGCACCTAGAAGTGACAGAAGTAGCAAGACATAAGCCCACAAGTACAATACAACACAATCTAAGAAGGTAAGCAAGAATGTCCCCAGGAAAAGCTAGAAGTGTTGTAAATAAAGCTTTCAGAACTGGCTGGTGACCAGAGACCATCATAGCTGGGACAGCCTCACTCCATGGTGTCATTTTTCCTGTTGCTCAGGGGATAGCTCAGGCTGGTTGAGTGTTCTTCTCTTGCATCTGTTGTGCCCTGCTCATCAAGGCGAGTTTCTATTTGCAAAGCACATCAAAATGTCACACAAAGCAGGACATCTCCCCCATTTTTGGTGCCTATGAATTTAATAATTGTACCCAGAGTAGTGCTGCTTGTCTGCCAAATTCAGGAGGCACAAAGGCAACTTAGCTGCAGTGTTTAGAGGTTACTTTGGGCACTTGCCATTTGATTTGTACTCTGTCATATGTAGTCTGTGAAAATGACAGAGTAAACGAGAGAAAGGGTTAGAAGCTGTTGGAAGCTGAGCAGGGTTGCACATGTTGCACTTGTGGTAGCCACAGTTAGTGAGATGAGAATCATTGACTATTGTTTTATCTCCGTGTTCAAAGCTATCACCTGGGGTGACTAAAGTAAAATATGCATTATCTGTCTGTCTAGTCTCCCTACCCCTCCCAAATGTAATAGGACTACGTAGGTTGACTCCTGCCTGCCCAGAAGTCATGATAAGTTATTAGACTAAAGAAAACTATTTAATTAAGCCGACACATAGCCCAAACCCTCAAATCACTTCAGTGATTAATGTAAAAGTACTATAGTAACTATAGTCTGATGAGTAGCAGCAGCAGTCATGCAGTCAGAATACATGCAGAGAAAGTAGTCTATAACAGCTATATCTATTCACACCACAAAGGAGATATGAGAGATGTTTGGTGTTTTTTCTCCTTTCTGTTTCTCATTTTCTGCTTAAAGAAATCTTGTTTCTGACTGATTCCCTGTTCAGTCACTGGGTCAGAACCTCAGCTCTGTAGATCAGTGTGGCATCAAAGGGTCATGACAGGTTATGTCAATGTAATCAGAGCTCTTATGTCTGTATATTCATCCTACTGAAGAAATATAAATAAAGAAAATATAGAGATTTCCTGATTTTACATGTCAAAAACATATTACAGACATCAAATGAAGAGTTTCATTAAAAGGTCTGGGAATAGCTACTTTAAAAATTAATTTACTCTAATGTTTCCAGCTGGGATTTTCCAAAAAGCTTAGGGCACTTCAGTCTGCAAATAGCACTGAAATTCAGGGACAGACTTTGGTTTCTGATTTCCTGAGGGTCCTTCATAAATCCCATGTTCAGGAGTTCTAGAGGGAAAAGTAGTCAGCAATGGAAGAGGCCAATAAGGAGTAAACATTGATAGGAAAGCCATGCTATTAAGTTTATCAGGAAGGTTGAGTAGAGCCAAGAGGTTTAGTTTCCCTGTGCAGCTGCCAGTCCAAACTGACATTTCCTCTCATCTCTCATCATGTGGCCTTGTGCTTCAAAAAACTTCTTTCGGCCAAGTGTGCAAGCACAGGAGCCATAAGGAGCTTCCACTGGAACCAAAACCTGAGGGAGATGAGCACAAACACAAAGGTTATGTTTGAGACAGGGAAATGCCAGCAGAAAATCTGGCTAGTCACCTCCTTAATAAAATCATGCCCAGACCCTTTCTCTTATGACCATCAGTGGTAGATGCTGACATTATCACAAGTAAAAGTGGATCTATAATGTCTACCTGAAGGAGGGAGAGGATAGGAGAGCACAGTAGCAGAATCACAAGACTTTGGAGGGAGACTAGAGCATAAATAGACTATAGACTATTAATGTCAATGGAATAGCCCAGTTTTTCTCTTTCTTGTGAGTGTAACATAACAGATTTTCAGCTGGACCTAGTGGCAGCTAGAGCAGCTGTGGAGGGAGGAGCAAATACATCCTACCCCCCACCTCTTGCCCTCTGCTTGATCCCAGGCTTGTACCTCATTCACTGTTGGACCAGTCTGGGATGCCACAGTGCATTCTGCTTGGGTAAAATGCACAGGTTGACATTATAATTGAGAGTCAAATTCAGTGGAGAAAACAGGAAGAATTTTTCAGAGACAGTCTGTTACAGATCCTTTTGGTGTCCAGAATATTCCACTTGACCTTTAGCTTTTATCAATAACACAAGAAGGCAATTATTTATCCTCCTTTTGTAATCAGTTTAAGCATTTTTTTAGAGGTAATGTGGAGTTTTTACTGGGACTGGGAGAAAGTTTGGTTGCTTTAACTCTGTTTTATGTAGAACTACTGCTATGCTTTGAGGCTGAGTATTTCTAAAGAGGTCAGTCAAGTTGTATTTGAAGCGTTTACTTACTTCTTTGTCATTGGTCAAGCCTAGATTCTTCATGTCTACAACATTAAAAAAGGTGTTGTTCAAGACGACTTCTATGACCTGTACCTGAAACCATGAAAATGGATGAGACAATGAATTAGGGCACCTTTTCAGTCAACAGCCTGGCAGGCTTTTCACTCTGTAAAAAAGAGCAATGCTACGCCCCCAGTACAGCTGATCAAATGCAATCTAGTGAACATGTGTACACCTTTCACTTTTATTCAAGTGCTGCCAAGAACTGAGTGATGTTCTCCCCCATTGTGTTCCCAGCTGGGGAGCTTCCAGTCTTAGCACTGCCAGAGGAATTAACAGTCTCGTTTTGGTCTTCTCAGTGGTGCAATTAACATTCACTATTGAAGTAAAACATCATTAGGAGGAAAGAAGATACCTGTGACACTCTGGAAAGGACAAGCATCTGGATACAGTTGATAGTTTTCTGGTAAGAAGGTGAATATTCCCCACAGTCAGGTGGTCCAGCAAAGGCTTCAAGGATACATTCACGGATTTTCTTCCTAGAGGTAACACAGGTTTTTACAAAACCTTGCATCAGCTGTCTCTGCTTAGATCTGTAATGCTCTGCTGTGGGGTGGTTTTTGTTTATATTTTGCATATTTTCTGACAAATATATAGCCCATAGGATTTTATGGAAGAACAATTTGTCCTTTCACCCAAATTCTGTTTCCTCTCCCCACCCCTGCCAGATATATAATTCACAAATAGGTTTTGTTAAAACTATATAACAGATTAGTTATTTAATTCTCCTAAAGTGTTCTGTACTGAACACCGAACTGTTTGTTTGAATCCTGTCCAATGATGTACCCTTGGAGAGAGAAATACCCCTAAGGCATGCCTCTCACCCCTCGTAACAAGAGCTTAGTGCTGCCACTGCGACCTGTGAGTGGCTGGTGCACAGCAGCTGTGGATCTGGCCCTTTGACCTTCTGTATTTGTATGGAGGGACTTGGTGAGTATAGATTGGGAAATTTATATTACTTGATATAATATATACCATATGCAGTCAAAGTCAAAATCCTTGCATTCGCCGTACGACCATTTGCAGAAGAGCTCTCCACATAGAATCCTGTCATGCCTTTCAGGAAGTGTGGTGTGTTCGTTCTTATAGAAGCCTTCAAATCCAGACTGTGTTGTCTTCATAAGTTTCAGGTCCTTAATTCCAGCAAAAACAATCAGAGGACCTGTGATAGAAAATTACAAGAAAATATGAGCTTCTTTTCACACAAAGAAAGGGTTTGGGTTGTTGCACACTTGCATTGACAGGTCTTGAGCCAGAAAGCAGACAATAACTTTCTACACACTGATATTGGCAGAAAGGTAAGAAACAAGACAGAAACTACTGAAGTCAGGCTCAGTCTAGAAAATGGAGAATCCCATCAAGTGATCTGCAGTTAAGAAAATCTGAGGATAGACTTTTTCATCTCACTTGGAACTGGGACGTGTTGGGTTGGCTTATGCAGATGTCAGTTTAGGAATGGCTCTAAATGGAAATGAAATAGGCTACCAGTGCTGGGATACACAGCGAGAGGTGTGGGGCCTTTTCCAAGAACACAGAGAAATGTAAAAGTTCTCTGTATAAAGACAGAGCCTCAGTCAGTAATTTGCTTTAGATACCCACCCTGTTGGGAGTTTTGCATCTCTGAGAATGAGAGCCAGGAGCCAATGCAAATCCCTGCAGTTCAGCTAATGAGCAGGAACTGGCACTGCTACAGATGCCACCCACAGGTTCAAACTGACAGTGGCTTTGCTCTCAGCCACTATTTATAAAATGAGCTGTCGAGGATCACTGCTGTATGGGTGGATCATTGTCTTCTAAACACCAAGTAGTTGTGACCTGATTTTTTTCTGTTGACACCTTTTGAACAGCGGCTATTTCAATTTCAAGCAGTCATTTAGAGCACACCAAGATGGTAACTGAAAATTTCACTGACCAGAGCTGCCAAAAAAGTTTATTCAGAAAAAAGAAACTTCATGGCATTCAGGCTTATTCAAGGCCTGTGCAGATAGTCAGGGGCTGAAGCCCAAGCTGCTGGTTTTGTGCTGCTCTTGGTGCTCACACTAGCTAGTTCAAAATTTATCCTTGAGTATGTCAAGTGCATAGTAATCCTGCCTTGAATATGGAAGACTGACAAATTTTTTCTTTAAATTATGTCTTTGAAGGGATTTATACTGGAAATAATTCTACTGTGGTAAGCATTTCTATATTGCATGGTTATTTGGAGGTTTGGGTGTTTTTAAACTGCTCTTTGAGTGGATATTATTGACACTGTATCTTACCTATTTCTTTTCTTGTTTACATTCATTATTGTTTTTGAAGTAGTTTAAGGAGGTACATCTATCATTTTGCCTATGTCCCCCTATTATTTACGAAAGCTGTAAAAAAATCTAAAGAAGAGACTGACCTTGGACAGGATATTCTGGAGTTTGTACTGATATTGAATAATTCATTACTTGGGTATAAGACTGTGACACAGGTTTTAATGTAGTGCAGGTGCTCTCAGTGAACCTGGAGATATATTTATCTTATATTCAAATACTTAGCCTTATTTGAAAGAGCTCCTTGCAACAAAAGATTGACTGAAAAGTGGGCTGACTGTGCAGCAATCAACCTGAAACTCCCTCCAAAGGAGACAGCACCCAGGGAGAGTTTCCAAGGTGAACAGCTCATGCTGTGCTTTCAGCAGGCTTCGTGGTCGTGCTGTCTTCAGTTGACAAATTTTAATTCTGTTAAGTTACTTACAATGTTTTGAGTTTCCAAAAAATTCTGAGCCTTTTATCAGCAGATACAATGGCAAAATATAATTCTATTAAATCTCACTAGGGTTTTTTCCTTCATTGTAAGAAAATTGTTAAACAATTGGATTAACTGAGAAATTAACTCCTGTGTCTGGCTGATAGGTGCATAGGAGGATGCTAAATATAGAGAATATTCTCTTAGAAGAAAAATAAAAGTGATTTGAAAATCTTCACTTTGGTTATTGTTCTCTAGGCAGGGAATTCTAAACAACTAAAGGGCTACATGAAGGGATGTCTAAGAAGGGAAGTGGTTTCTACAGTAAGCCATAAAAGCTTTCTGTTTGTGTAGAATCTGAAGTTGTAGAATTGCTTGTTAAATTTTCATGACGATGAAAAATTTAATAGAATCTACATTAAGAGCAGCACCTTTTCAAAAAAGTACAGTCTTTTTGTTTCTTTTTTTTTTTTTTTTTTAATTCAGGTGTCTTTTTTAATGTTTTCCAGAAAATACAATAAATATTATTGAGGCTGCCAAAAGTACAGCAGTAGTTAACAATACTAGAAACATTAAAAAAGATGAGGCCAAGAGACACTGGAGACTTGTACAGCTTTCTGTGTTCTTTCAGCAGGAACACAGGAACAGTGCTTAGATGCACCTTTCAAAACTTGTGTCCTGACTGCAAGTGAAACTGGTCTTGCCACTGGTTCTGGATAGGATGAGAAATAGTTCTAAGTTACATTAATGTAGTATAGATAGGTACTGAGCCAATGCCTAATCCCTCTAAAGCCATTATGTGAAGTGATACAGTGGCCTCAGCTCACTTCCCAGTAATCTGGGAGGTGCATTAAACAGAACACCATCAGTGAGACTGAACTTGGGCTTTTGTTGTGAGCTATAGCAAGTAGAGATAATTTTTACTCTTACTTGGGAATGCCAATTCATGGACAGACAGCTGAACTTGAAAGCCTGTCTTTTAAGTATCACAAAACTCTTGGTCAAGCCAAATACTGCTTTGTTTATGCGTGGTGTGCAAAAACACTAAGCACACTCTGAAGTATTTTCATGTGAAAAATGGTTCACATATAGACCATTTGCTCACCATGTTCAAGCTAGTCTGGCTTGCAGCAATGAAATTGTTTCCTTAGAAATAAAATCAGGGCATGTTGACAGGAGTTTGCAAATTACTGCAAACAAGGCAATTAGCCTGCAGCAGTGTGGTATCAGGTAAGGATCATAAGAGACTGCAGGTTGTAGTATAAGGTATAAAGTATAGGGGAGAAAAGCCTGTTCTCAGAAGGCTGTTAAATCCTCTGGCAAGATGTAACAGTTCTGCTGGATGTGCTGTTGTAACTCTTCCATGTTTGGGCTATACATACAAATGTGAGCTACATCAGTTCTTCAGCTGTGTCTCAGAGATCAAGAACTTCAAAATTACACTATAAAAATATTCTTTGGTTTAGACCTCTGGAGTAGTTTGGCTGTGCCCTAAGCCCTGTAACACCCATAGCTATCTCTAAAGCCATCTTCATCTCTCATTGGCAGAAATATTTACAGAGAAGTAGGGGACGCTGCCAATTCTTTTCTCACCATTCCGGCACTGCTCAGCTTCGCAAAAGCGGATCCCATCAGGAACACATATGAATGAGTGGATGTGGGGAACGCCATCCTGCAATTTAGAGCAGACATGTAAGTAAAAGTAAGTAAAATATTACTGTGTTAATTTGAAAACAGGAGCTAAGAGAGTGAGGAATGACTACAGCATAAACAAATTGAATGTGTAAGTATTTTAGATACCTCATGCAGGCGTTGCCATGGTACTTCTTGAATGTAGGTTTTGACGTACGCCACTTGGCAAAATGTTGTCATGAAGTGGTTGCAGATATCTATAGCAAATTGTTCTAAACTTGAGATCTAAGGCAGCAAACAGTATTATTAGAAAGAAGCAATTACTTCATGTACAAAAGTAGATTTTTCTGGTTGTTGTAAGTATTTAGGAAGAATCAGGGTGGTTAAAAACACATTTCTGTTATATCTAGCTTGGCTCTCTGTGCCCAGTCATTTGACCAGCTTGCAGCATATGCTGCAAATAGCAGCTACAGTTGTGTTGAAAATCTTCCATTCTGTGGTACAGTGAGCTGCAGTCCTTGGACTGACAGAAACTGCTGCAGGAGTCTTATGCTTTGAGGATATAATGCTGAAATAATAATTTACACAATTATTCTGATTGATATGGTGATATTCTAATTAAGTTTTACAGGATAAAGATGGGATTTCATTATGGAGAAATTTAGTGCTACAGATTGTCATTACGATACATGCAATTGATGGCAGTAAGAGCACAGAAGAATTAAGAGGAGTCTCACACTTTGAGACCTTCTGTTTAAAAATACTATATAGGAATATGCGGGATTATGGGCTATTAAATTAAAAAAAAAAAAAAAGATGGATTTTATATGATAAATCCACAAAAAACAGTGCTAGCTCTTGAGAAAAAAAGGCTTTGGAAAACTAAGAAAGAGTTCACAGGACAAGCAGTGGAGGAGGAAAACTAAAATCACTGAAAATTACTTTGGTACTGATCTGATATGCAAATTGAAAAGAAAAAGTTAGTATAACCAATACTTCCAAATGAAGTTGTAAGAAACAGCAAGGCTAGTTAAAAGAAAAATACCCCATTTTTTTTGGCCAACACAAGGACAATATTCTTTATGGTGTCTGTAGGTATCACAAGAGAATTTTTTCCTTCCAGGTACTCCTGAGGAGAAGTCAGCCGCAGATGCGTACACACTTCCACTTCTTTAACAAAATGTTTCTTTCCCTCTTTATGGAGGCGAAGGAACTTAATTGAATTCTTGCCATATTCACAGTTGAGGACTTCAAGGTCATTGATCTGCAAAGAAAACATGTACCAGTAGTAAAGAAATGCAGTGGAAGCCTGAGTTTTGCTGTCATGCAACAATGTCAGTGAAACATAAACAGGACTAATGGTCTTTATTTTTGTAGTTACCTGTGATAATGAGAATATTTTCATTATATATTGCAGAATCCTGATGGGAAGAAAAAATGCTTTAGGAGACTGTTACTGTATTTTAATAAAATAAAATTTTAAAATTTTCTGGGGGACAGATTATAGAACAGGAGTCACAGTGAACTAGTCTCTCATTTGTCATCTGCGAGTTAGTCCTGACTACATAGACCTTCACTGGGTCTCTGCTCAGGGATCATTGGTTTTGTTTGCATTAAGCCCTATTATTAAGTTTTATCCTGCTTCTGTCGAACACACCCCATTTACACATCTCTTAGTGTTGGAGAGGCTGTACTAGCAAGGTGACAAAATTCTGCAAAGGTTGTGAGGATTTCTGTTGTGGTAAAATAGCCAGAGCTCATTGCACTAGACTTTCCATGAGGCTGAAATATCTCATACTCTGTATCAACTCTTAATGAAAATCAGACCCTTTTCATGTAGGCATAATGAGAATAGAGAAAGAGCATTTTCTACACCAAAATATAAATTGAAGCTTTTTATGTGTGAGTTGCTAAAAGATTATCAGATGTGAAATCGCTTAATTCAGACATGTTTGTTCCTAAGAGAAATGTTAATGCACTTTAAAATAGTTGAAAAAAGCTTTAGCTAATTGTAAGTAAATTCTTTTGGTTCAGAGATCAGAGAGTTTCTCCGGCTCAGTCCCTGGGGCCCAACCCCAGGGCTGAGTGAAGGTGCCCAGGGCCGGAGCCGGCACCGAGATCTGACCGGGAGCCCTTTCTGCCGGCGCGGGGCAAGGGCTGGGCGGAGAAGTGAGCGGGAAATGATGTTTTGCTTGTCTGAACACCACGGCTTTTTTCAGATAGTTGTGAAAAATTTGTACGGCAGCCATGGAGAGCTGAAAACAAAACAGAAAGTGTTTCGGTATCTGCAAGTTGGAGGGTTTTTTAAGCAGAATACAATGAATAGTCTAAATAGCCAAAGTATTTTTTTCTGTTTTTTGTCAAAAACATAACTTGCCAAATGTCATTTTGTTGCCCAAAGAAATCGCGAGCAGTTTCTGGCGGCTCCCAGGAGCCCTCGGCCCTGTCCATGGCCGTCCCTGCTGCGGGAGCCGCGTTCCCAGGCCGGCCGCGCCGTCCCGGCTGTGCTCCCTGCTCCGTGGGCAGGAGCTGACAGGACTCGCAGAACTTCTCCTTTTACAGCCACTCGGGGCTCGCCCTGCGCAGCCGGGAAACCAAAATGCCTGCGGGATCTGCGTGGTGCTACCCTGCTCTGCTCTTACTTCTCTCCCCTGTGCCCCTGTGGGCCGCTGAGCTTTCCTGCAGGAATGAAGACGGGGAGGCGGTGGATTGGTGAGTAAATGCCGTGCAGGGGAGAAAGGCTGGGAGAGTAAATAAATACATTGAGATTAAACCACGGGAAGTGGGTGGGTCACAGAGAAGCCATGGGAAGGCAACCGCTGGTTCAGCGCTGTTGGCGTGAGAGTCGAGGCAGAATGTTACCTTTGAAAAGCGTAGGATAAGTTACCGAAATCTGATTTCATTTCCCTGAATCAACCACCGTACTGTATCATGACTAACCGGGGAGCAATCAAACAATCACGGTTTTACACGGCGTTCATGTCTCATGATCAAAGGGAGCGTGAGCTGTGTTGGGTGCCGAGGCTGCTCCCGGCAGCGGCAGCCCCGGGGCCACGGCCGGGCCCGGGCTCGGGCGCTCGGCTCGGCCGGCCCGGGACTCACCGGGCGGGGAGGGACCCGCGGGTTCCTCGGGCTGGCTCTGAGCGGCACCGCGGGGCCCCGGCCCCTTGCCGGGGGCGCTGAGGGCAGCGGAGCCGGGGCCGCCCCGGGCTGGCGCAGCAGCGCGGCCGAGCCCCCGTGCCCTGCGCCCGGAGCAGAAGTCGCTCCGTGCCCGGAGCTGCCGCCTCGGTACCGCCCGTGCCATCCCACTGCCAGCAGCGAGCCCAGCTTCGGGTATTAAATCATTAATTGGAGTAATGAGCTTTCAACATTAAAAGATGTAAAGTACGATTGCAAAATATCCAGCCCGGATTTTAAAAGTGAAATGAGGGCCTTTTAAAAAGTGCTTCCTGAAGATAAGTATCAACCAATTTCAAAAGAAAAATGATTTCTTGTGAACAACAATTAGTTTGGATACAAGTGCTAAAGAAGTAGGCCCATCCCTTTACTTGCACGCAGAGCTAATTGCAGGGAAGGCAGGTGCTCCTCACCCCACAGGCAGAAGCACAAAGCTGGCTTTGCTCTCTGTTGGCATAGCATCAAATATATGAGGCTCTAATCCATCCCTATGACTTGTCACCTTTGACAAAGCCCTTCTGGATAATGTTATTTTTTCAGGAATCAGACACTTAGTTGGTGCAGCTACCTAGGAACTTAAAGGTATGCGATATTTTATTTCTCCCTAACCTGGATTTATCCCTTGCAGAATGAGATTTTTCGTGACAAACAAATGAACACAAAAACACAAACAAACAAAACCAAAACAAACAAAATCCACATATATATATATATATATATATATATATATATATATATATATGAAACTGTCAATTTCTTAGAGGAATATAATTTTTGTATTAAAATTTTCTGAGAAATTCTTTAAAGGCTGGGGCTAGGAGTAATTCACCTGTGCCTCTGTGTCAATGCCAGTGACATGGGGGCCTGTTCCAGGAGGGAACTCTGGGGTCTGCACAGGCAAATCTATGTTCCCTTTCACAAATTTAGCAGGTAGGACAGGGGGATTACCTTTTCAATATGCCCTGATCAAAAGAAGAGAAACTTGCCTGTCTGCTGGGGTCATTCTGGTTTACTGAGAAGTCAGCCTTTGGATTCTGGATTTGGTTGCTATGAAGCTGACAGGAGAAGCAGAACTGAAACTGCTGACATGAGCCTCCTCTTAAACAAAAGATGTCAATGTCCTTATAAACAAACAACACTGCATTATTTTCAGTTAGCAGCAGGTTTATGTGCGTTCCTGCTATGCACTGGTTTCATCCTGCAGTATTCCATGCCTGCTCAGTATTCACACACCCTTTCATTTGCCACTGAACCAGAGGGATCACTTGCTTTATCTGCCCTGATCCCATCTGTGCTCCCCAGCTGGGCTGGCAGCTCCTCCCCGCACGCAGTCCCTGGGCGGGCAGGAATCTCTCCTGTGTTTTCATTTCACTTGGGATCTGTCCCACGGTCCGCACTGCACCTCCCACAGGGGCCACCCAAGCAATAGCCACGGGATCGGCTGTCTGAGGAGGGCGGAGTCTTTCCTTTATTCATCTAAACTCACTGTATTCGGTGGGAAGCCTTCCCTGCAAATAAAACCCAGAGCTATGCTTTCTGAGAAATGCTGAGTCAGGGACTGAAGCCACCATGCACATTGTTTGTTTGGGCTTTTTTTGAGGGGGTGGGGAGGAAGGGAAGAAGTAAAGATGTGATTCTTGCTTATAGTGTTCAGTCACAAGCAAATAATGTGACAATGCTAATCCGGTTTAAGCGAATTTGCTCTTTCTTGGTTCTCAGGAAAATAACTTTTACTCTGCTCCCACAAATGCCTGGGTTCTTGAGAAATTTCCTGTGCACAAATAGCACCAAAGATTTTATACAACTTTAGTTGGTAATACACTCAGCTGGCTTTCTGGAAAGTGCCAAAACATGTATCTACTGGGAATTGGCAGGCAATTTCCTATAGCTCAGTGACTAGCATTTTGTAGGCATATCTGCTAAGGTGTGTTTGTCAGATGCAAGGCTGTAAACACTTCCAGAACATAAATCTTTTAGTAGGCTTCAAAGTAGTTTGGGAAGGCTTCATGTACTAATTCCTGGATCAGTACTGTAACTACTGCTATTCCTCTCCTTTCCAAATCTCAATTTCAAATCTTTATTTCAAATGAAGGGATTGTTATCACTCCTGGTGCATGTATAGGCACAAACCACTCTCCCCAGCCGAGTTATATAAATCACTTTCTTCTCTGTGATCTGTCATCAGAAATTATTTCTCCTGAGGTACTTTGAGGAGATGATTCAGTCAGTGGCAATGCAGGTGAATTACCAGGACCGCCACTGGTGTGTGTTTTTCTTTTGCTTGTACATGTACATTTCCAGTGGATTAAATGTTCCTCTCTAGCAAAATGTTTTCCTGCCACTTCTTACCTGTGTTTGGAGATGTCTTCCGTGACCAACTTGAGCCTGTAAGTCAACTGAGCAAGGTTTACTCCTCCTGATATACTTGAGAGGTTAAGCACAGGCTGCATTTTTGTTAAATAGTGTAGATTGAAAGTAATGCCACTCAATCCTTACAGTTGACATAAATAGCAAATTAATCAATTACAGCCCTCAGAGAAAGTGACTGAGTTAATTACATTGTGATTAATCCCATGGACTTGCACACTTGCACACTGGGAAAACTTGTTTACTTTATCAGGAACCTTAGTATGAACTGAGCCATTTACTGACAGTATTGAGTACTTCACAATTTTGAAGAGATTTGTATTCCTGGCTAATGCTTTGAAAATTTCCAGTCTGCAACTATTCATCAGAGTGCAAGTCTGTTATGGAAAGTATGACTGGATCTACATTTTATCACTTTGCTTTATACTTATTTTGTGTTATGATACATATAAACATAATATAATTCATTTTTTATTTCAATACCTAGTTTTATCTATTTCATATAAAACCATATTTATATAATATAGAAATTGTTTGATCTGGGGGAATGTTAGACTGGGTTTGGGACTTGAGGTTCTTTACCAGAACTAGGAGCAATAGGGATTTCATGGACTCAACCAAGGCTACCTCAAATTCTTCAGGGGTACCAACAGCAGTGTGGCCACAGCAACAGGAGTTTGGTGCTGCATCAGCCTCCCTTGCTTGCTAAGAAGCAGAACAAATTTGATTGCAGCAGGGACTGTGCTGCCAGGCTGCAGTTGGTTCCTGGGCTGGGTCATTGCTTTGTGGCTGAGATGTCCACACTGCTCCCCCTCCAGCCCAGGCACCCCTGGA